AGCGGGCAACCAAGTGGTCCTGAGTTCAGGTCACCCCTTGAGCTAGTTTGGGAGAACATCTGGCCTAATGTCCTCCTCCATTCTTTCTGGGCCACTCGGGGGTTCTGCCAAGCTCACCTTTTCCAATTCCTCAGTTTCAGTTAATCTCCTTTAATCAAGATCTTGACCAAATATCAAAACCTCCTTTTCCCTGCCCAGACCCGCGGGCGAGACAGACATGTCGTAGGGGTCTCTGGCCTTGCCAACGGGCAGACGCGTACCCTGCCACTCTTACCTCGAGGCCATGTCCTGTTAAGGGCCCCAGCTTTGTTGAGGTCCTCTGTTCCAGCAGGGCTCTCCGCTGGGCCTCAAGCCGTGCCTCCCGCCCCGTGTGCGGGCGAACCCCTCGACCTGCCGCGCACCAGGGACCGTGTGCTCGTCAGGACCGGGAGCTGAGCTTTCTGTCTGGCTCCTGCGTCCCCTGCTATTCTGCCCCGAGGATATCCTTAACCTTCCTACAACCTCAGCTTTATGTCTAAAAGATGTCGGTTAGCATTTGTCTAACATATTTGGTGTTTATGGCAAGAGGGTTGTCATAATGTCCAGTTCCAAGTATTTCCAGAACTGAGTCCTCGTCTGAATGGTCACTGGGAGCTGTCGTGAGTTGCCTGTGCTGCATAAGCAAGCAAGAGAAGGCGATAAAAGGAGAGGGCAGGACAGGAAGGGGCCATCCTGGAAGTAAAATGAAACACGAGCAACAAGAATATGCATGTTCATGTATTAGGTGGTCAGAGACCTGCAATTTTTATAATACTTGAATTTGGCCAAAGTGAAGAAACGTGCCATCATGTGCAAACCTTTCACTAGGGAAATTTCATCCTCACTGACCCAGCAAATTAGCTGGGAACTCTTTGCACCTACAGCAGATACTGGAAATAACGATGGTCTAGACAGAATAAGAATTTATGGGCATCTGGGTGGCTCAGTGGGTTAAAGCCTCTGCCTTCGGCTCAGGTCATGATCTCAGGGTCCTGGGATCGAGCCCCGAGTCGAGCTCTCTGCTCAGCAGGGAGCCTGCTTCCCTTCCTCTCTCTCTGCCTGCTTCTCTGCCTACTTGTGATCTCTGTCAAATAAATAAATAAAATCTTAAAAAAAAAATTTGTCTCTGCCTCATTGAAGAAAAAAAAGAAAGTACCGAAGCATACCAGACTAGCATGGCGGTTCCTTGATGTTGTCACAAACCCAGGCTCTTTCGGACTGTTCCACTACCCTCAGAAAGTACCTTCAAAGTGCCTCAGAGCCCAAAAGAGCTGGCAGAGCTCCAGCCATCACACCCATATTCCAGACAACAGAAAGGAGACATGGAAGGAAGGAGGAGGTCAAAAGATACTCCTGCTGTCAGTCCTCTCCGTTAGGACCTTCCCAGAAATCCTCCCCAACGAAATTCCACTTCCAAGCCAGTCACACGACTGCATCTAGTTGCAAGTGATGGAAAAATACGTCGTGGGCTGCAACTCTGAAGACAATGGCGGTCGGTGACTAACAGGGAGGTGGGGAGAGGCAACCCGTCGTCAGCTGCTCTCAGGCAGGCCACTTGTGAATGTTCCTCCTCCGCACACTTGTGCCCAAACGTGCAGTGAGACCGGGGGGCGCCGTCCGCGACAGCAAAATGTCTACCCGTGGGACTCAACTAATCGTCCCATTCCTGAGAGAAACTCTACGCAGAGGATACAAAAAGGGATGTGATCAAGATGGACAAAATCTACCTTTTGTTAGAAAGCAAGCCACAGAGGGCGCCTGGGTGGCTCAGTGGGTTGAGCCGCTGCCTTCGGCTCAGGTCATGATCCCAGGGTCCTGGGATCAAGTCCCACATCGGGCTCTCTGCTCAGCAGGGAGCCTGCTTCCCTTCCTCTCTCTCTCCCTGCCTCTCTGCCTGCTTGTGATCTCTGTCTGTCAAATAAATAAATAAAATTTAAAAAAAATTAAAAAAAAAAAAAAAAAAAAAAAGAAAGCAAGCCACGGAAACCGAAGCACGGTACAGAGCTCTCTGTGTATGAAGAAGAAAAACTGTTGTAAATGCATGTGCTTGTATATATGAATTTTTCGTTAAAAATCCTATAAATCATTCACAAAATCACCCTCAGGGAGTGAGGGAGAGGACAGTGGGGAAGAGGTTTCGCTTTCCACAGCAGACCTCGTGACGCTGCGCTATCTTCAATGTGCGCTCATGATGGTTTGATGATACGAAGTACTTGAGCCAGGCCGAGCTAACGGTCAAATACGCAGTAAAACAGGGCCAGCATGTGTGCGCGGGCCTCCTCGACCCTCCACCTCCCCGTCCTCCCACCCCTGGTCTACAGGAACCCGCCTCTTAGGCAACAGCACCCAAGATAAAGGTGACTTCTGAACTGATGGGGGGTGGGTGTTGAAAGAGGCATTTTACAAATATTGTGGATGAAGCATGTACGGTGTTTGTCCTGACCAGTGAACTGAACAGGACGCAGTGAGTCGGGCTGGAAACTGAGCCACTCTCCAGATGCGGCTTCTGAGGGACGGCGCCCCGCGCCCCGCTGAGGTTCGGGAAGCGCGTGCTGCCCTTTCCAGGTAAGGGTCGCCGCTCCGCGGGCAGCCGCCCATGGTCCTCCATCAACAGCCCCGCGCAGAACCCGCTCCACAAATAACTCGCCCGCAGCAATCTAATGAGGACCCGTGGGTGCAGCCACTGTTCCAGCAGCTGGAGACACATCTGCTTACAACACAGACCCCGCGTCCTCGCGGCCGGCGGTCCAGACAGGAGACGGTGCGCAGAGCCCATCCAGAAAACACAGCCCGTATGTCCTGGATGTACGCGGGACGTTCCGAGTAGGCAGATCGGAGAGCGGGTGAGGGGGTGAGGGGGTGCCTGGGCTGGCGGCAGGGGGTCAGGAACTGACTGCCACCGGGCACAGGGCTTCTCTCCAGGGAGAGGGGCGTGTTCTAAGATGTGCTCACGGTGCACAACTCCAAACACACAGAGCACCACCGGATTACGTGCTAAATTAAAAGGGTCACTTGTGTGATATCTGAATTGTATCCCAATAAAGCAGTTTTAAAAATCATACAATGTGGGGCGCCTGGGTGGCTCAGTGGGTTAAAGCCTCTGCCTTCAGCTCGGGTCATGATCTCAGGGTCCTGGGATCGAGCCCCACATCGGGCTCTCTGCTCAGCCGGGAGCCTGGTTCCTCCTCTCTCTCTGCCTGCCCCTGCCTACTTGTGATCTCTGTCAAATAAAGCAATAAAATCTTTAAAAAAATAAAATAAAATAAAAAATAAATAAATAAAAATCATACAATGTAACATAAGCGATACCTGCTACAGAAAAGAGAACAAGATAAAGGGCATGGGGGCTGGGTTCAGGGGAGACCCACTGTTTTCTTAGGAGGGATCAGGGTAGCCCCTGAGAAGGCACCAGCTGGAAGTGAGGGAGTAAGCCTGTGGGGCTCTGGGCAGAAGGAAGCACAAGTGCAAAGGCCCTGAGGCAGGGGCAGGTGCTGGCGCATCAGGCAGGAGAGCAGGAGGACCGCAGCCTGACTCCCAGGGACACGGGAGCGGCTCGCGAGTTCAGAGCCCAGGAAAGAACATCTTTAAAGGGCAGAGGAGGTAGGAAACCCAGGTGGGAGCTATCAGATAACCTAGGCGAGGGGTGAGGAACTCAGGGTGACAGCAGTAAGGTGGGCCATGCATCACGACGCAGCCAACAGGTCTTGCTAGCACGTGGGACAGAGGGAGAAGGAAGGAGTCGGGTGACTCCAAGGCTGGGGGCATCTGTGAGGGAAGGATGCAGGCACTTTTCGGCTGAGCCGAGGGTCTGCGGGAAGCGCCGGCTTGCGGCAAGATCGGAGTCCAGCCTGCATGAGCTAAGCCAAGAAGCCAGTTTGATGTGCTCAGGGAGGCCTGGTCTGCAGGGCCCTCCCCAGGTGTGGGTCCGACAGAACAGAAGCATGCTCGAGGACAAAGCCCTGGGACATCCTGACATTTAGAGATCAGGAGAGAACATCAAGACCACGAAGGCACAGGGGAACGGCACCGGAGCGGCCGCAAAGGACATTCTCAGGACACGGGTGGTGGAAGGGTGGGGGCGTGAGGAGGACAGCTCCAGTCCACCGTGGTCTGAGGGGGCGGCAGTGGGGTGGTAGGGGTGGGCGGCTGGACACAGCGGGTGTGAGAGGAAGTGGGTGACCCGACCACCAGAAGGCGGAGGCAAGTCGACCGTCCACAGATGGATAAGGGGTCCATCCACACAATGGGACTGTCACAGCCAAAATAAACCCCAAGGACACATGGAAACCTGCACAGCGGGGACAGACCTGGAGGACGTGACGTGGAGTGACACAAGGCGGCCACCGAAGGAAAGCTCCTGCAGGACTCTGCCCACGTGAGGTCCCAGCAGAGCTGTAGTGGCGGTGGGCGACCCCCCAACTCCTGTACATGGAGGACAGCACGACTCTGGATTGTCTCCGATCGGCACTGTCCCTCACATCTCCCAGGGGCGGCGAGGGTGGCACTTCCAGAAGCCTCCAAGCCCTGTCCTGCCACATCACACGCCCACAAGAAGCCTGCTGAGTGCCACAGTGTCTGGGGAGCCAGGTCTGTGACCACGGCCCCTTCACCGCCACGCTGGGGGGACCCCGACACAGAGCCCACACGCACAGGAGCAGATGACCACCCCGCCAGGTGGCCCCTATCTGCTCACGGAATCTGCCGGTCCCTGACCCCCACGCTCGCCGGCTCCTCTGCCATCCTAACTAATTTTTATTTTAAATAGGCGGTTTCCTGTTTTGCTTAGAATTCCTGCCTTAAAAAATGGACAACATCACAGCATAAACCCATTTCTCTTCATGAAAAGTGCCTTTTAAGGAGCACACCTCTTAAAAAGGGAATCTTTCGTGCATCTAAACCTGATAAACCACAGGTCAAGGGTCAGGAAGTCAGCTTCCACGTGGAACAAAGTGACCAATACCAGAGGGACATGAGCCAGCAAGTGGATCAAAAAAAGTTTATTCTGGATAATTAATTTAAAAAAAATCATATCTATGATGTGTGCTACAGAAACTTAGATACAATAATCGCATATAAAACCCGACCTAATTGTGGTAAAGCAAAGATTATGCAGAAACACACTTCAGGAAGTAGATGCTCACATCCCCAACACCTGAGACACCTCCACAGAATCTTCCGGAAAGACACTGCCCCTGACCGTTGCCAGCGCACCCTGGCCTCCCCGACTCTCAGGGGGGCGACGTGCTCCCGGGCGGCATGCACAGGGAGCACCCGGCGGGGAGAACGCGCTCTCTGCTTCCCTCTTCAATTCAACGGATCGTGCCGGACTGTCACAGGACACGGTATTTTGGCACAACGAATATGAGTGCCCCAATGGGAAAACCGTCTCTGACAGGGTACGACTGTGAAGACGCCTGCCGGCTGGCAGCAAACACCTGTCTCTTGCCCAGCAGACACAGGGTGCGGTGGCAGGAGGCCGCCCAGGGCACCCAGAGGGCAGTGTGCACGGGCTGGGAGACGCTGGACTGGGAGATGCTGCTTCAGGGGCAGGAGCGGGGGCAGAATCGGTCCTCCCGGCGTCAGGCGTCAGGGGAGGGACGGGACGAGGCGGAGTGCGCGGGGTCTGGGGAACAGGAAGACGCTCCCACCCAGAGCTAAAGCCACCGCCTGTGGCGCCCCTGCCCTCAGTCCCAACCTCCCGCCAGACCTCCCTCTACCGGGGCCAGGGACTCCCCTGGGACACTGCAGGGCGGGTCTGAGCATAGGCCACGTGCGTCGGGGGCCCCGACCGCCGCCAGCGGGGGCAAGGACAGCACGCACTCAGGACAGCGGAGGGTCCCCAAGCGGCTCCCATGACAGTTGGTTTGGCAGAAACAAGGAAAACGCCTGAAATGCGTAGACTCGATTACCAAGTCCTCCTAAGGAGCGCAGCTACAATACATTCGCGTGTTCTGCGGCGTGAGCATCTCCAGAAGCATCGGCAGGAGGGCCCCGCGGAAAGGCGCCGTGTCCTGCGGCCCCCGGTCCCGGCGCCTACGGCCGTAGCTCCACGTAGTTGGCCGGGAAGAGCCCGTACCTGCCCTTGCACAGCCCGCGCCACCAGCCGTCATCGATCATCTCTATGTTAGTGACGATGTCGTCAGGGTCGAAGGAGATCTCGTCGTCGCCCGCTAGGAGAGAGCACAAAGAGAGGACGTGGCGCTCCGACCGCGGCACAGCCCGGTCTGCAGGAGGGAGTGCCCTGGCAGCCGCTGGCGGGGCTGGCAGCCCCCGGCCAGGCAGCAGAGCACGGAGAGCCTTCCCACGTGGCACAGCCTTCCTTCCACCTGCCCGCCCTTCCCTGTGCACACCAGCCCCCAGCACGAGACACAGAGCCCGTGCCCGGGCCCCCGCCGCCAGGCTTCCCCGGTTCTCCCACTGGAGAGTACTTATAAGGCACCAAGGGGAGCCTAGGACAGAGGCGAGCCGGCGGCCAGGGAGGCACGTTCAAGGGTAAACGCACCACACTGTAGAAACTCCAGGTGCCCCACTCCACGACACCCACACCGGGATCAACAGAAGGCGTGAACAGATGTAAGTCAACGGGAGGGGGAACGCTCTTCCCGGGGCAGGAGGGCGGCACCACCAGCAGGGAAGGGACAAGGCCACGCCCCGCCAAGGGCTGGAGGGGGCAGGGATACAGCCAGCAGCCTGAGGACGACACACAGGCTCTCGGGGACACCCCAAAATACCCCTCAGCAGCAGCGAAGGGAGGAAGGCTGGCTTTGCGGGGTAGAATGTGGCCTGCACACTGGACCGGGGCGGTGGGGACCCCGTGGGGCAGGACAGACAGAGGGACCCATGCAGGTCCCACATGGCATGCAGTGAAGACCTGGAAGCTCTCCCAGGACCGCCCCGTCCTTGGAGCACAGCCGCGGGTCCCCCCAGGACGAGAGGCCTCAGGGCAGATCGGAGGCAGCTGGTACCAATACGACAAGAGGCGGCCGGGACAGAAGATAACAACGGACCGGCCACAGATGTCATGGCGTCTGAGGGCTGACTCTCCCACTGGGGGACGGATCGTGCTTTGGGGTGGGCAGTGTCCTCAGTTTCGGGGAGTTCACGCTGGGCCCTCTAGGGGCCCCAGGGCACCCCTGTGCCTAACTAAGAATAACCGAAGGTTTGGGGATACCGAAAAACGGAGGGGAGATGGGAGATTCTGGAACTCTGAGATGATTTCAACACAAGTTACTTCTTAAAAATTGTAGTAAGGTCTGGGAGTGAAACCCCCAAGAGCAGCAGCAGAGAACAGGCAGGGAGTGGGAAGGCGGGTCCCTCACCGGCCTGGTAGTCATACAGGGCGACGGCTGTGATCCCGAGGTCGCTCTCATACTCGTCGTAGGTGTTTTCCTCTAAAAATAACCGAGACAAGAGCTGAGAGTTAACCAAAGCGCCCCGGGGCGCCGAGCCATGTCGCCTTTGTCAGCCAGCCGCGGACGCCCATCGGGAAAAGGACGGACCCCGGGTTTAAGGAGCAAAGCCCCTGCCTCCCAACGCCGACGCCAGCCCGCAGCAGGACAACCGGGGTGGGCACCGAGGCCGCTCTTAGAGGACGGGCTGCTACACTGCGTGTGTCTGGTTCTCAGAGGGGCCCGTGCTGCCCGACACCTGACGTCACACTGGGGGAAACGCGAAGGCTCTGTCCTGAGCTGTGTTCTCGGATGGGTTCAGGTTCCATCAGCCCAAACACACGGAAGGAAAACTCATCTTTAAAGCTAAGAGACCGATTCCACGGTTCACTCCACTGAAACATCTATACGATTTTCAGAGTTTATAAAAATCATCTTTAGGGACCTCAAAAGGCTCTGTGTTCCTGGAGCCCGGCTCTGCCCCAAGTGCCCACCGCGAAGGGACTGCAGAAGCCCTGTCCTTCACACTCCTTGCGCCCACCACCCCGGAGCAGCCGGGCCTTCCTGGAACCCCCGTGGGAGCCCCTGCTAAGCCCTGGGGAGGGAGGTCTGGCGGGCACCCCTTCCACAGAGGAGCGGAAACAGGGGACTTGGTGGGGCACCCCTGTACCCGTACCTGTTTGATAGTGGCCGGGGGCCTCTGTGGCCTCATAGACGGCGTCCGAGGCGTAGGCCGGGCCCTGCTGGCTGCTGGCCTCCTGGTAGCCGGCCGCTTCCACGCTATACACAGGCTCGGGCTCAGCCCTGAATGAAGCCGCGTCCTGAGGAGGGGGAAGGGTGGAGGAGACGTGACCCGTGGCCCACGCTGGGTCCCCAACACATGACTCGTCAGACCCAGGGGGATTGCGGCACAGACACGTGGGCACTGAGTCTGCCCGAATCCCCCAGGGGAAGGGAGAGTGACCGGCAAGCTGAGGGCAAGCGCAGGCACTCAGGGGAGGTCCACGCCAGGCTGCTCGGTCAGCAAGACTTCTGACCCGAATGGAAGGAAGTGGCTTTAGGCCATCTTTCTGACCAGGGTCCATCCGAAGGTACCCTCAGGGGGGTCAGAGAGAGAAAGGAAACATAGATAAGCCCCAGTAAGAACCAGTGGGGTCAGGTACTGGCTTTTGCTGGCCGATGACCATCGTGGCTAGGGCAGCCCGTGAGAGCCACGAGGGAGGCCACGGAGAGGGGACCCTGCATCCAGGCCAGGCCCTGTGCCACTCAAGGACGCAGCCACAAAGGAGCGACAGGCCCAGAGTCCATGGATGTGCGGGGATGCCCTGGAGGGCCAGAGGCCAGTCGCGGTACGGGGGCACTGTGCCAGCTGCCCCGCGGACCCAGAGCAGCCCGGAGGCGCAGGGGACCCCATCCTGGGCTGCCAGTGGCCCCCCACTCCCTGTCTTCTGGCGTTAGCACCTCTGCCCCCAGCATCTCACGTGGTTCTGACAGGGCTGCCAGTCACGGGACCCCCCCCCCCTCCGGCCAGGGACAGCAAGCCACGCCGCCTTCTCAGAGAACCAACTCCTCAGTGACCGGCCGGCAATGCAACAGGACGAGGGGAGATCGCTCAAGGGCCCTCTTGCCAGTGGGTTATGAGCCCCAAGATCATGCCCCAATGCCTACGAGGTCCAGGAAGACACGAGCACCACGCAGAGGGAGCCCAGTGGCCACGTGATTCCCCCCGAGATGCAGGCTTGCTGCCCGGAGCTCTCTGGTTCCTGAGCGAGCCGGGAGGCCCCCTTCAACTGTCAGCTGAGCTGAGGCAGCTTCTGTTCCTCACCACACAATGGCCCTGATGCCCCAGTGAGAGAGGTGGGCAAGGGAACCAGAGCAGCAGCGTGGGGACAGAGGAGACAGGACACAGGGCTCAGCCAGGTGGGCACTGAGGCAGTGGCAGCGGTCTCCCGAGAGATCTCTGCCGAGGCAGGGCAGACACCCCGCGACGGAATGAGGAACGGTGAGGCGGGGAGCCCAGTCAACTCAGAGCCCAGTAAAGAAGACAGGACACGAGCCGGCGGCCACAAGGCACGGATGACGGGAATGAGGATTACCGGCCAAAGACGGTCACCGGGGAGCACAATGTTCAGGAAGGACCGGGAGGGACAGCTGGCGAGGCCAGCTGGGAAGCCGCCTCACGTGCCAGGAACCGGGTCTCTAGACTAAGGGACGGGGTCAGTGTCAGGTACAGCAGACGG